AGAGAGAGAGAGAGAGAGAGAGAGAGAGAATGGGGGGGGTGGTAAATGATTACGTTTAGTTTTATTCTTCTTTACCCTCTTTCTGTCTATATTCCTCAAAAACTCAATTTTTAGAAAATAAATCTATATACTAGATTGGAAACAAGCGGAAAGAGGCATCTTAGAACTGAAAATTTTTCATAAAAATATTGATATGGTTATGATCATTTAAGGTAATTTATAAGGACCATGCTTATCTTAAATAGGCCAGTAGTGTACTGAATCAAGTGCACCTAAAGGCATCTATGAAAAAGTTCTGTGAAACTAAGATCATAGCACCATAGCGTTGTAAATTCTGCTTTAAGTTTATACAATAGCGTATAGTAAGAAGCGAACACCACAGCAAAAGGCATTATGATGCCAGCAAATCGAAATACAGCAGAGCAAGCATAGTTAAGCGTTCTTTTCGTGAAGCTAATCCATTCGACATGTTTTATAGCTATTGGTGATCATCTGGAGTTGTTGCTGTTGTTGCTGTTGTTTCTGTTATTGTTGTTGTTGATGTTATTGATGCTGTTGCTGTTGTTGTTGCTGTTGTTTTTATTGTTGTTGTTGTTGTTGTTGTTTTTGTTGTTGTTGTTGTTGTTGTTGTCGTCGCTGTTGTTGTTCCTCTGAAAGGAGGTGGAAAAGTTGTCTGAAGATAACAGATGTATTACAATATCATAATATATATATGTAAACGAAACTGATTGAAAAATACTAACCATTTATTTTCCTTCGAATAAAATTACAATTCATTATTCTTTTCTTGTTCATAAACCTAAACTGGTAAGTATATGTTCCACTGACACGTAAACTCAGTTCTAATATGGGTGCCCAGCAAAGTAGACCGGCATGCATTTAATTATGTGGACTACAGAACCGTGTTCAACAATGTGGTTTCGTATGATAACATCAACATAATAAAAATCATATTTTAAAAATAGATAACATATCAAATCCAGAAATAAAAGTATCAAAGTCAGTCAACCGTGACAGGCCACCTTTTCAATGTTCTCTTTGATTTGGGACATTTCATAACATGGAGGAATGTTGTAATGAGTTTTGGAACACTTTCAGGAAAAATCATGTGTACTAAAAAAAACGCGGACTCGTGTGAATAGTTAGAATTCATGAACGCAGCTAGATTATTTAAATCTCTACATATTCGCTACCGGCTATTCGTGTGCCATCGAAGTGAAATCAGGTGCTCTTCAATCAAAATAATGATATAAAAAAAGAGGCATTACTGTCCCGCTCGATTGGCAATTTTTCTCCATCTCTCTCTCTCTCTCTCTCTCTCTCTCTCTCTCTCTCTCTCTCTCTCTCTCTCTCTCCCCCTTTTTAAGGAAATTTAAAACACATTTTTGAGTAGATTTCACAGAAAACGTTGATCAAAGGCACAAAAAAAGAAAGTAGAATTACAGTATCAAAGGATACGCAAACTTTGGTAGCCATCAAACTTTAACGACCATTTTCTCTCTAATTTTACTTCTGACAACAAGAGGACCTCCTTCCTTCACAAATATCTCCACAACTTCTGTTCAAGATGGATGAGTGTTTGGCTTTTTTAAAAACTTCTCCCCCGCCTCCCCCCGTAAAGAAAGATAAATGAGAAGGCTTTAAGATTATTTCAATAATTCCGTATGACCAAAATTTGACGAGCGCCTGATTTCACCGTGAAGTAACGCATTTACTAAATCTACACAGTGTCAACACAAACATCACAAACGCTTGGCGTGTAGGAAGTAGGACAGGCGTACACATGAAAGAGAGAGAGAGAGAGAGAAAGAAAGAGAGAGAGAGAGAGAGAGAGAGAGAGAGAGAGAGAGAGAGAGAGAGAGACCGAAAAAGACAGAAACAAAGACGCAGACAGAGAAAGAGGGGCAAAAGGAAAGACTGAGAAAAAGAGACAGAAAAATAGAATGGCACAGATACAGAGAGAGACACAGACAGACAGACAGACAGACAGACAGACAGAAAGACAGACAGACAGACAGACAGGCAGACAGACAGGCAGACAAAGACGGGGGGAGGTTGATATTTCTAACAAACACATGACTTTGAGTATTTCTAAACAAACTAAACAGTGACTTTATTTTCAAGTTTTGAACGATCTTCTGTATACTTATCTGGTCAATGAAAGACTTTTAAAGGGAAATTTCCCAACAGTTTTCGAAACTAAAACTGTCCTAAACGCTATGGCCATCTACGTAGCACAGTGCCCAAGTTTACATTCTTTGCTCTAGTAATTTTGACAACACCGAAGACTCCATTCTCGTTAAGCATTACAACGTTTACTTAACAAACCACAACGAAATATCTGCCTAATTTGTCTTTCAACTCAAAGGTAGGGGATCTTGGACATATTTTGAGTAGGTTACAAAAAGTGACAAAAAGTGTGATCGATATGGGGAGTCATAGTCAGTGTGTTTTCCTATCTATTTAATTTTCTCACCGGTCTTGTGTGTAAACATCGCCAGCACCATGTGCATATCTCACATGTAGCCATCTACGATGTTTCAGTTTCCATATCAGTCAGTCTGTTCCTTTTTATTTAAATTTACGTTGTTTTCATGTCAAAATAGAACTTTCCCTTTCCCATTCGTTCTATTTTTTAAAAGATGAGAACTTGGTCATGTTATTAAAGTCAAGAACAAACCTGAAGATATTGTACTCAGTTACTGGAAGGCGGAAACCCGCAGCAAACACAACGAAGGCACAGGGGGGGTCTTTGGTGAGACTTTGTGTGAAAGATTGCACATTACAAGATGGCTCGCTCTCGTAATCTATAAAAAGTGTCCCCAGCAAACTATGCGCAGTAATATAGCGCTATCTCAAAAGTGCAAAGTTCTGTCTCCTCAGTTTCTACCTTTGAGAAATTTGAGGTAAAAAAAAATTGAGTTTCACAATATTATGTCAAACATTTTCGAATGCAATTCTTTGAATATCTTGATAATGACTCTGAATAATATTACGATTCTGATAGAGCAGATAGAACATTTACTTGGTTACTGATATCATGATCTCAGTAACTCTGCGCTGACGTAATCGTTCTTTTTTGTTCTCAAATGGAGTTTTCTTTATAACAATGTTTTCTTTATTAACTTGCGTTATAATATCCTATACCATGCACTTTCACGTACCTCCGGTTCACAATGGAGCTCACCATTTGACTAAACGTTGACTAGAAGAAGGACAAGGGAGGAGGGTGTTGTAAACAATTG